CCGGACCCCTTCTATAAGACACAGGGTTAAACTGAGAATTAAACCCATACCGTATCATACTAAGACGTGGCTTAAAAGTATTATGTTCCAGGATAGGAAAACAAGTAAACAATAACCGAGACAACGTACGCCTACCGAGTGACTTGCTATTTCTTAAATGCCTTCTACGGTAAATCCGTTAATTTTGTTGACTCTACTCGCAGTATGACAGTATGGCTTACGTCCAATATTATTATGCAGATCGAACTACACTACGTTTGTCTTTTGCTCAGTTTGTCTTATATTATGAAGATGAAATACTGATCCCACATCAAAGCAAATATGAAAACTCATGACATGAAAGGGCAATCACTGTTATAATTGTCTGTTTCGTCTTTGTCTAACTTAATCTTTTATCTGCGTAAGTTCCATTCCGGCTATCAGAAGGCTACTATTGTTATCAAAAAGCGTTGTTGCCACTCACTGCCGACACTTTAAAGTCAGCTATTTCTGCCACTAGTGATAGTCATTCAGAGCAAGTCCATAACAGTCAGTAACAGCATAACATATTAATTAGTGTATAAACCATAGAAACATTATAAAAGTTTCGTTGTTGTAGAGAAATATTGAAGGTTTTAGACAAATTTGTAAATTCCTTATCGGTGACTGTTTTCTTTAAAACTAGCTCAATTGGATATTCAATTGTTGGATGTTTTTTTCTGTAGCTGTTGCTCCAGGATTAAAAGCCATGGTGAGCAAATTTGTCTTCCCGTAAACGCTCACCAGATCGAGAAAGTGCAAAAAAATAAAGGTTGTTGTTTTTTGTTGTTGTTGTTGTTGTTGTGTTTGTTTATTTGTTTTTGTTTGTTTTGTTCTTTGGGGGTTTTTTTGGAGGGGGGGTGGGGGGTCTTTGTTTTCTTGTTGGTATTTTCAGATAGCTGTCTTGCTGGGGCAAGTTTATATAATCGAAGGAGCTTCGCCTTTTTGGCAGTACAAAAGTTGAAGTTAATCATTTTAGCCAGTACAGTGGACGATATTACATGCATTTTAGTTTGTGCGTTCCTTTGAAGCAGAGATGGATGTTAGAACAAAAACAAAAACAAATAAACTTACAGCCTGCACTTCAGTTTCATTTCCTTACAGAGGAAAAGAATAGTACTTGACGTTAGAGTAACGGTTTCTTTGTTTCATTTCTAATCAAATACCTGGTATTAAAGAATATAGTTAGAACCCTCCACCACCCCCACCACCCCTCAAAAAAAGAGAAAAAAAATAATTACAAATTTAAAAAAACAAGTGGAATTGCATCTTTTTGGGGGGTCAATACTGTTTGCTAACACCTGCGCTGCAAGTGAAAAAATGGAGCGAGCGGCGTCAATGATTTTAAACCAAATTTGAAAGAAAAATTTGCCTGGAAGGCATTTTCAAAATAATATGGGTATTGAATTCCTCGCTTGCTTACATCATTTGAAGCCGACCGTACATTAACGTCAGTATACTTTTTTTCTTTTCTTTCCTTATATCTCCAACTCGAGAAGAGAAACAATGATTCTTCAAACAGTTAAAAACATCAGTATGAACGATTGTTCAAATAGCATGATACGTTTGAATCGGGTTTAACAGACATGTGGATGGAAAAAAATAGTGTGTGTGTGGGGGGGGGGGGTCTGGGCAGGACAAGAATACATCTCTCCGTACACCGAAGAGTACAATCATATGCTTGTGCTAAAGCCCACATACAATATACCTGAAAGAGCCTGCGCTCAAGAAATATTATGTCAAGGTCCAACAGTACAATAAGAGATTCAGGAACCACATACAGCCCATTAAAGTGCGTGCACGATTAGCTTTGATACACAAGGTATCGCAACAGCCTAAAGACTCCTTAAACATGAATCTGTTAGTTTGTAGCCTACTTCTGTGATATTTGTTGTAAATGCTTGACAAACCGAGGGTTTTTAAATCACAATTAAGATTTCAAGACATTGCTTGGACACTTCATTAGCTGAGTGGCTACTGTGTTGGGATATGGTACAGATGAGCACACTTCGGATCCATATATATATA